CAGTATGCGCGTGTTGATATATAAAGAGTCTGGGCCAGCTATCTCACTCGTACTGAGAGCCTGCGAGGAGTGTGCGTTTTGCATACAAGTCAAAGCGATATCGTTCTAGCTGGATGCCGGTGCTATATGCTTAAGGAGTAAACTACAATTGGAGCGTGGGCAAGGGCTTCGTCCACCTGAACCCCGAAGCATCTCGCCTTGAACGGTAAGTAGAGGGATGCGAACTCTACATTATACTATTTTATAAGGAAAAGCTACCTTAGTCAAGTACCAGATACTAACCCTGCCTGCGCCTGTAGCTGGCATACGCAAACAGTTCGCCATATCCTGCTACACTGCCCAAGATATAACAGAGTAGGCATGCTAGCTGCCTGCGAAACAGAGCGTATGAGCAAGATCCTCTCTTAACCCGCATGCGCAAAGCACGCGGCTCGCTGGTTTATCCGCACAAGGATCCTAGAGCAATTTCGCACCGCAAAAGAGATAGCAAAGGAGGAGCTAGGAGGGTATAGAGTGTTTAATGCAGCAGAGGAGTAGTAACGACAGAGGTTGAGACCCTCTAAGATATTCAGAGTATAGTTGAAAGGGTGACTATACAGGAGTGGGCAACAGGTACGCAGGCGAAACGCAGGTAAGGCGAAGGCGCCTTGTAGGGTAATCTCAGACCCCTGCTACAATAGCTATACTTACCTAGTCTAGTAAGTCTAAGGTTTTCCTTATTGACAGAGGTTGAGACCCTCTAAGATATTCAGAGTATAGTTGAAAGGGTGACTATATAGGAGTAGGCAACAGGTACGCAGGCGAAACGCAGGTGGGGCGAAGGCGCCTCGTAGGATAATCTCAGACCCCTGCTGCGATAGCTATGCTTACCTAGTCTAGTAAGTCTAGGGTTTTCCTTATTAGGCTTTTCCCTTGCTAGATAGCTGTCTGTATAGCCCTATAAATAAGGACTAAACAAACGTTAAATAAAATAATATATATATTTATCTTAAGGCATACTTATAATTTACTAGCAGATATTATATTAATAGCTTATAATTTGCTAAAGAGTATAGTATCTAAGATTTATAATTAGTTAAAAGGAGTTAAGGTCTTAATTAAGGAAATAAAAAAGTAAATTACTCTAAAGTTAATATTAATTATAATTGTTTTAGCTAAACGGCTTATAAAGTAGGCTATCTTTTTCTTTTTACCTCCTTTTATAAGGGTCTTTTATAAGTAATCCTAAGTTAAGAGGGTAGCTATAATTAGATATTTAAGAGCTAAAAATAAATAGGAAGATAAGAGGAAGAAAAGAGAAAGAAAAGAGAAGAGAAGAAGGGTAAAAAAGTAGTTTCTAGCTCTATATAATAGTAGTGTATTTTATATCTTTAATCTAAGCTAGATAAATAAATAATTATACTTTATAATTTTTATTAAAGTATATAATATAGCGCTTATAAATAGCTTATAAGTTAAATAGAAAAGTATAATCTAGTATTTTATAGCTTAGTCTATAATATTTGTATTTTATCTTATTTTTATATAAGATACTAATATAGCTATTATATTTTAAATAATTATAATATTAAATAATATAGCTTTTTTTATTAAATAGCTTTAGTTATAGTTTTAATCTTATATTAT